CTCCTGTTCCCTCCTGTCCCTGTGGAACATTAAACCTTGGGACCACCCCCCACATCCCCACTTGGGAACTTGCCCTAGTGCCCCTGCCCCGGTCCGTATGACGGTCCCATGCTCCCTCGGTGGGAGGGGCTTATGCCTGCCCTACCTCTTCTCTCCATGAATGCCTTGCGTGATGAACAAGCTTTCTTTCAAATGTTCCTGTTGTGTGTGATGTCGCTGGTATCCACAACTGGCCTATTGATCACGTGTCAGTCCATCACACTTTTGTGGGTGACCCCGAAATAATTGCCTCACGGCCGGGACGGTTGAGGCTGGAGCATCTGGAACCTTCTTAGATCCTTCTTCTCATGCTCTTGGTCATGGCGTACAAACCGCAGCTGGTGAAACGTGGCTCCACCGGGGGTTCCTCCCACAGAGTCTTTATTATAGATTTATGACCTGAGTCACATTTGGGGGGAAGGGTACAAGATTGGGGCCCTCCATATAGGATTGGGTTGGGGAGGATTTCGCCTCTAGTAGAAAGGGTCAGGGGAAGGTCTCTTCCTCTGTGAGCATTGGGTGTGTGACTCGAGGGGCAGTGACTCCTGTTCCCACAAGGTGCTGATACCCTGGGCCACCTGGGACCATACAGAGGGCACTGTGAGGACAAGCGGTCCCCAGACGATGTGCTAGGGGCCACAGTCTTAAGAGAAGGTGGCTCATTGTGACGCTTTGAGGCCGAAATGCCTTTGCTCTACTGTGTGGAGATCCCGATTCTTAGCACCACAGGTGAAAATGGGCAAGGCATTCCAGGGCACAAACTCTTAGGAAAAATGGCCCCACGTGTTTTCACCTGGGCCCTCCTACAGGGCTGGAGGATACCTGGGCAGGAAAGCATTGACCCCTGTGGGCCTGGGTTGCTCAGACCCTGCATATCCCACAGAAAGGCCTCTCTTCAGATCACCTCTGAGCCCTTAGACTATTCTGGGGGGTCAAAGTGTTCGTGTGTGCCTGAGGCCTTGGGCTCCGTGTCCTGGTTTGACCAGATAAGTTTACGCCAAGAATGCAATTTATTGTCAATGTGTGTTTTCGCTCTGGAGCGGGAGGGGAAGGCAGGAACTGGAGTCCAAGAGGCTGGAGTCAGTCATGTGGGTGGCTGTGTGCCCTTGGCCGCTAAGGATTTGGTGTGCTTCCCTGGTTGTCAGCCTTTGCCCATGTGGTCACGGGGTTGCTGGGAAAGAAGCATGGCCCCGACGCAACTCCACTGCGTGCCTGGTCTCTTCTAGCTGTTGCCTCCACCTGCATTTTTCCTTTGCAGATTTGAGTCCGTATCCTTCCACGATAATCAACGGCAACTGCTTCTGAGCCTCGTGCGTCCTTCTTTCGTATCATCAAGCCTGAGCGGGTCCTGGGGACCCTGAAATAACTTGATGGGGATCATTACAAATGGACCCACGGTGACTATGAGTCCTCTTACAGCTGTAGATAAACATGTGAAAGGGCTTCTCCGCTCCCAGGTTCACCCCGGGGCCAATAAAGCCATGGTGATCATCGCCGTTGGGCGCACCCTAATACTGGTGATGTTGATTAGACTCTCTGTAGGATGGTGTAGCCTACCAGTGGCAGGGGAGAGGACCCCTCTGAGCACACCCCATAACCACCCCAAAATGATTCTGTAAGGCGAGGAAACTGAAATGGAAACAGACATCTCTGACTTGACTCAATTGGAAATTCAAAATTTTATTGAAATAATGTACACAATTAGAGTATGAAAAGGGGCCAGTTGGCTTTTGTGCCTAAATGATACTGGCTTGGAATTAACTTTAACTTCTGCTGAGATGGGCTGATTGGCCTGTACATCTGTAGTCCTCAAATGAGTAATTATGGGTCCGTGGGACTTACGGACCCGGCGGTGCAATTTGAGTGGTCTCCCGCACTCAGAGGCATGAGCAAGGCATCCTTTTCCTTGTTCTAAAACATATTTGTGGCATGAAAAATAGCCTACCCTAGTTCTTTTTTTTTTTTTTTTTAAGATTTTATTGCCGCAGGGGGAGCGGCAAGCAGATGGAGAGGCAGACTCCCCTCTGAGCAAAGAGCCTGATGTGGGACTTGATCCCAGGACCCTGGGATCATGACCTGAGCCGAAGGCAGCCACTTAACTGACTGAGCCACCCAGGCATCCCAGCCTACCCTCATTCTAACCCCAACTCCCTCCCCAGCCCTAACCTTAATCCTATTCCCAACCCCTCAAACGCAACCTGAACCACAACCCTACCCGGGGTCTCGGGTCACCTTTCATGGCCTCCATCCTGAGTAGCACAGTCTCTGGGACCTCTGGTGTCATTGTGGCGCAAAGACGGACTCTGTCTTTTGTCCCACTACCCTCATTCTTAGCTGGTGGTCTCTGCCTGGGGCTCCCACTGGCACTGTCTCCCTGGAGGTAGACCTGCAAGGAGCAAGGCTTGCTGCCAGCACGGGGTTGGAGGGCCGGGCTTGACTAGGACCAAATGGGTGCTCCTGGGCTCTCCCTCCTGTTTTTGTTGGTCATGTCACAGCTTTGGTCAGGATAGGAACAAGTGTCTTTCTGGAGAAGAGCTATAGGAAGAGCTATGGACCCTATATTTTCTTGTTTAAAGCGGAAATTTCTCATTGTCCTAGTTACAAAATAAGGATCTGTTGTTTTAACGATTCAGATTAAAAGTAAGCCCTAACATCATCCACAAATCAATAGCATCTGGTGCATCTCCTTGCAGACACCCTGTAAATTGGGAGTTTTCCTGGGTTCCATCCCAGCCACCATGCCATGTTCTCCAGGAGGCACCCCACCTCTACTTTTTCTTTTCTTTTTTGAGCAAGCAGGAGAACGATCCTAGCGGTGGTGCCTAGCCACTGAGAGGGGCTGAATTTGGGGGCAACCCTTCCTGCTGAGGGCAGGAGGAATTCCTATCCCAGGTTGTTCACTGCTAGACAAGATCTGAATGAAATCTTGGGGGCGCCTGGGTGGCTCCGTGGATTAAATCCTTTGCCTTCAGCTCAGGTCACGATCCCAGGGTCCAGAGATCGAGTCCCACATCAGGCTCTCTGCTCAGCAGGGAGCCTGCTTCCTCCTCTCTCTCTCTGCCTGAACTCTCTGCCTACTTGTGATCTCTGTCTGTCAAAGAAATCTTGGGCTCCCTGTTGAACAATTCTGCTTGTTGCACCCAAAGCCCTAGAGAAGTGAGTTCATGTGTAGGAAATGGTAATGCACTCTAGGAGAATGGGGTTTTAGTAGAGAAGATAGAATGTTAAAAGACTTTAAAAAAAAAAAGATTTTATTTACCTATTTGAGAGAGAGAGAAAGAGACAGTGAGAGAGAGCATGAGAGGCGAGAAGGTCAGAGAAGCAGACTCCCTGTGGAGCTGGGAGCCTGATGCGGGACTTGATCCCGGGACTCTGGGATCGTGACCTGAGCTGAAGGCAGTTGCTTAACCAACTGAGCCGCCCAGGCGCCCATTAAAAAGTCTTTTTATAAATCCAATTATATCTCCATAATAAGGTAGGAAACCCATATAATCATTTTTGAGGTATGCCAAGAAGGTGTTTGGTAAAAATCAGCATCCAGTCCTGATTTTTTTTAAGTCTTAGCAGTTTTTTAAGCAGTTTTTTAAGTCTTATCTTATCTATAAAGATAGTTCATGAACATGGTAAACAAGCAGTCATAGCCAATGGTTGGCATTTCACCTAATAGTGAAAGAGGAGATCTATCTCCCTTCAAGTCAAGATAAAGACCCAGAGGCCGTGCCAGTGAGGAATGAAACAACTGTGAGGAATGACAAATGGATTGAAATAGTTTTTTCTTACACAACAAGAATTTAGGAAGTTGAAAGTTGGTGGTTGAAACAGCTGCTCAAAAATTTCATCCAAGGTCTAGAATCCTTCTATCTTTCCATTCCACTACATGTGACTTTTGTCCTTAATTGTCTCATGGTTACAAGATGGCTACAACACCTCCAGGCATTGTATCCAAGTTCCAGGCAGGAAGCAGGGGAGAGGGAGGAATGCAAAGCAAAGACTTTTCCCAAATCTTAGCAGATTTCCACTTGAGCCTTGCTGTTCAGAATTGGGCCATGTGGTCACCCCAGCTGTAACAGAGTCTTTAGAGACCAAAATGTTTTGGGGTGACACACATTGGCCCCTACCCCAAATAGAATCTGCCACAGATGACCACTGCCACCAGCAGAGTGCTGCTCTGAAGGTGCTAGCCAACATGGGTTTTAAAAAGAAACAAAATAAAAGACTATCTATATGAAAAGGAGAGGCAAGCTTTTTATTTCCAGGTTATATGACAGATTAAGTCCAATAAAATAGTTAAGTTGTTAGAAACCTAGATTAATTCAATGAAGTTGCTAGATATAAAATAAATATACAAAAAGATATATACAATCAATAGTTGTCCTATATAAAACAGAAAGACTCCACTTAGAAATCCCACAAAATCAAAATGTATGTAAGAAGACCTACGAAGAAAAAACAATACAGCCTTCCTGATGGTTAGAGGCAGATTTGAATGACTGGGGCTTTGATACGAAGATTGAGTATTACATAGAACTTAGGAATTCTTCACACATTAGTTAATTCTTTTTTAAAAAATATTTTATTTATTTATTTGGCATAAAGAGAGATCACAAGTAGGCAGAGAGGCAGGCAGAGAGAGGGGGAAGCAGGCTCCCCGCTGAGCCCGGAACCCAATGCGGGACTCGATCCCTGGACCCTGAGATCATGACCTTAGCCGAAGGCAGAGGCTTAACCCACTAAGCCACTCAGGCGCTCACATTAGTTAATTCTAATCAAGATCCCAGTGAGGAGGGGCACCTGGGTGGCTCTGGGTTAAGCCTCTGCCTTCGGCTCAGGTCATGGTCTCGGGGTCCTGGGATCGAGCCCCACATCGGGCTCTCTGTTCAGCGGGGAGCCTGCTTCCCCCTCTCTCTGCCTGCCTGTCTTCCTACTTCTGATTGCTCTCTTTCTGCCAAATAAATAAATAAAATCATTAAAAAAAAAAAAAAAGATCCCAGTGAGGTGTGCAGGGACAAGAAGAGGTTGAGCTCTGAGAAAAAGAATCCTGGGTCATCTGGAAGAACAGATTTTTAAAAAACTTTTTTAAAAAACTACTGAAAATACTGTCCTGGTCAGTTTGACTACATATAAAGTAAATTATGAAGCTACAAACAGAAAAGAGAAGTCTAAGGGACAGTGAAGAATGCCATTCTAGAATGATGCAGGGACCCTGGAAGTTACATCCCAAACAGACAGATTTAAGGGTTAAATGCAAAACATGGAACCAAAAAGGATTTAAAGAAGGGGCTTTTTAAGGGCCAAGGAAAAAATACAAAGAGAAAGACAAAAAGACCAATTGCACAGGATCTGAACATTTCTGTGCATTAAAAATGTAACAAAGATAAAAAGGTATGTGCCAACGTGCTGTGTGTGTGTGTGTGTGTGTGTGTGTGTGTAAAGAACAAAGACTGGAATTAGACAATTCATACGAAGAGAAGAAAAAGGTAAAAAAACATGAACCAATAACACATTTTGATGTATCAAAATGGTAAATATAAAAAGCGGACACGATGCCAAGTGTGTACATGGGTGCAGGGAAAAGGATGTTCTTGGGGCCCATGTGGGAGAATTAAGAATGTCATGCTGGGTTCGACCTAGAAACAGCTTTGCAAGGTTTGTGAACTCTGCCCATGAACTCCACTTCTCAGAATTTATTCTGAGGAAATGATCGAAGGGCCAAACGGGCTTATGTTCCAGAATTATTTATAAGTACAGATAATGATGTTCAACAATAAAGGAATAGATCAATCATGCCACAATGGGAACATCAATGTTTCTGAAAAATATTCTGTAATGTGGAAAATGTTCATCATAAAACATTAAATGGAAAAAGACGGAAATAACACCCAAAGAATGAATCTAGTTTTGCTTTAAAAGCAAAGGCGTATTATATGAGCACAGAAAAAATATAGAAGTAAGTGTACCTCTGGCAGTGGCCTATGAACTGATACCAAGGGGTATTTTCTTACAATTTTCTGACGATTTTTCCAAATTTCTTCAGCACATACATATTGCTTATATAGTCAGGAAAAAAAAAGTTTACATGTAAATGAAAGAAAAACATCAAGTCTCCAATGAAGAGGGGGAAGGGTATTTTCAAATCATTTTCAAGACAAAAGGCCAAGAATCACAGCATGTTCAATATTCAGCCTCATTCGCCATTGAAGGTGCAAAGTACGGAGATGATAAGCCACCACTTAGCCGAGTACACAGAGGCCCTCACCGCACGGCTGACAGCAGCTGCGGTGTCCAGGGCCCTGCAGAGATGTTTTCACTGTAAGTTCTTTTGATATTAGAAGGAGAGTGTGATGATGACGAACTAACCCCAGATTGTATTTATCTTTTACAAATGCAGCTGTACAATAGGACTTTTCCTACTTGTCACGTAGGGTCCATGGTAGCCACGATGCGGCCCTGGAAGGCCGCTTGCACACTCTGGAGGGCTGCGGTGGAGTGGCAGGTGTCCGGGAGCACCACTGTGTGGTCACCGTGACCTGAATGAAGACTGTCTAGACACCCAGCTTTGAGCCGGAGTCTCCCTGGCACAGGGGACGCTCCCACCTGAGCACTATTGCTGGCTGATCTCTTCATAATGAAATGGTGTGACTTTACACACCACCAAAACCATATAAAAAATGGTTCCTGAGGTTATTTCCTTATCTCAAAACTTTCACTTTTAGAAATCTAAGAAAATGCTAAAGGAGTATAATGCAAAAAGATGCTCTGTGAAGAATGGTTCATAACAGTGAAATGATCTATAATAGTGAAAACATAGAAATAACTTCAACATCCAACAAAAGAACATCTAATAGAATCCTAAGCCTCCATTGGGAATTACAACTCCAGACAGTTCAGTGATGTGGGGAAAAAAGTCTGCTATGCAGCTAGGTGGGAAAAAAAAAAGATTAAAATGATATATACACTATGTTTGCAGTAATGTAAAAATCCACTTTGAAACAAGCAGAAGGTAATGTATCAAAGTGCGAAATGCAGTTTATTAGGAATTATGGGGGGCCTTTTTCCTGACTTCCACATTTCCCGAAATGTGGTTAATTTTGCTGCCATAATTTAAAAAGTATACTAAAAAGCACTTCATAAACTATAGCTCTCTATATAAATGTAAAGTATTATCACTGAGAAAGCAGCTTAGACTTGCTTAGGACTGAGCGGAAGGAACATTAATTCCAGATGAAGCCCACCCACCTCTGCAGAGAGCACGGGCACAGGTCCCGTGGAGGGCTTCCTCCCGCAGGGCTGAGCCAGCGAGCTGAACTCCCTGGAGCAGAGGGAGGCACTGCGAGGTGAAGGTGCGCTTCTAGACACATCTATTCCAGCACCAGGCCCTGGATGGACGCTGAGCATCCATCTGTGTGCTCGCCATTTCCCAGCGGGGACCAGATGGCCAGGCCCAATGCTGGCACATCAGGACCTGGCTACGCCGAAGCCGGGCTGTGCTCCTGAGACGGAGAGCTGTCGCTACCAGAAGACTCTGTTGTAGAGCTGCTGCAGGGAGGTGAGTCCAGGAAATCTGCCTTTTCCTAAACCCCCACCATTTGAGATCATTCTCCCCTCCTGGAATATACTAATGTTCACTTGGAGTACTGTTAGTAATTCTTCTGTTTTTATTATTATCATTATCCTTCTAAACAGAACATACAAAGGAAATTCCTGATTGAGATCCTACCAGGAGCCCGTCCGAGGACACAATGATCAATACACCTTCTTTCTGCCTGCAGGAGAGACCCCGTGTCCTGCAAGCCCATTAAGGAAAGCAGGCCGATGGGACACCCTCAGATGGCCCTCGCTCTTCTTTCCTACAGCGAAGCGCTTCCTGGGGTGGTGATGACTTCTGAGAGAGTGGTCCCAGTGCGTGGGTCATCGGCACAGGCAGCAGAACCAGTCTCTAAACCAGAGGCATGAGTGGGCTGTATGTATCTGAGCTGCTGTGCTTTCCCCTTTCTGGGGAAGGAGCGAGGCCAAGGGGCGGGCACGCCACGCTAATTTCCAGGCTTGCTGCCCATCGGGGATGTCCTGCCGGCTGGGGGCTGCACGGCACACAGGAGCTCTGCCACGTCTAGGGCATCGATCGTGTCCACGCTGCTCACGCCCGCGTCCCCTGTGCCCAGCAGGCCTCCCGGCACATAGTAGGTGCTCAGTAAGTGCTTGTTAAACTCGATGGTGAAGGGTTTCTCCTCACTGTGTCTTCTCCGGTGTTCCGCAAGGTGGGCGCTCCAGCCGAACATCTCCCCGCACTCGGTGCATCGGAACGACTTCTCCCCAGAGTGGACTTTCTGATGTTTGATAAGACAGTGATTCTGGCTGAAGGCCTTGCCGCACTCGCCGCACTTGTAGGGCTTCTCCCCGGTGTGGATGCGCTGGTGCACGATGAGCGACGAGTGGCAGCTGAAGGCCTTCCAGCATCGGCTGCAGTCGAAGGGCTTCTCCCCAGTGTGGATGCGCTGGTGCACGATGAGGTAGGAGTGGGAGCTGAAGGCCTTGCCGCACTCGTTGCACTTGAAGGGCTTCTCCCCACTGTGGATGCGCTGGTGCACGACGAGGTAGGAGTGGCAGCTGAAGGCCTTGCCGCACTCGCCACACTTGAAGGGTTTCTCGCCCGTGTGGATGCGCTGGTGCAGGGTGAGGCGCGAGCGGCTGCTGAAGGCCTTGCCGCACTCGCCGCACTTGAATGGCTTGTCCCCGTTGTGGATCTTCTCATGCACAGTCAGGGACGAGTGGCAGGTGAAGGCCTTGCCGCACGCACCGCACTGGTAGGGCTTCTCGCCGGTGTGGATGCGCTGGTGGCGGGTCAGGTGCGTCCTCTGGTTGAAGGCCTTGCCGCAGGCGCTGCACTGGTAGGGCTTCTCGCCCGTGTGCACGCGCAGGTGCATGTTGAGCAGCGAGCTGCAGCTGAAGGCCTTCTCGCAGGCGCTGCACTTGTAGGGCCGCTCACCCGTGTGGATCCGGTGGTGCACGTTCAGCGACGAGTGGCAGCTGAAGGCCTTGCCGCACTCGCTGCAGAAGAATGGCTTCTCCCCGGTGTGAATGCGCTGGTGCTCAATGAGGTTGGTGCTCCACGTGAAGGCCTTGCCGCATTCGTGGCACTTGTAGGCTTTCTCCCGGGCGTGCCACCGCCGGTGCAGCGTCAGTGACGAGCTCTGCCGGAAGGCCTTCCCGCACTCGCCACACACGAACAGGCCGTCCCCCGCCGCCACTCCCCGCCGCCCGCTTGAGGGTGGGTGTTCGCCGTGGTCACTGGACTTGCTGGGGCCTCTCCCTGGGCCCCCTCTCCGTCCGCCAGACTGGAAGCTCGCGGTGGGCCTGTCAGGAGGGTCTCCTTCTGCAGGAATGGTCTGAGGGGTGAAGAGGGTGCACCCAGCGGGGAAATCCTCAGATGCCTTGCAGCTGTGCCAGCGCCCCTCTGGCGGAACGTCCCCCAGGCTGCCCGGCACTAGCCTCCGCAGTGCAGCCTTGCTTCTCCCTGGAGCAGCCGCCAGGCCCTCGCTGGCCCACTCGCTGCCCCTGGAGCTGAGGACGCTGGACCTCCCCAGTGGTTTGGTGATCGGCTCCTGGCAAGGCTCTTCCTTATAAACACCCTGCTGTTGACACGACTTGTCCTTCACCCCAGGTCCGGGCTCCCCCTCTATAAGAAATGGGAAATGCAATCTTCTGTAAGCCAGTGGAGGCGATGCACTAGAGTCCAGACTGAGGTCTGATGGGGGTTTGGATAAGCACAGAGAGAAGAGGGCAGGCCACTGCCACAGCGCGCGAGGGCCTGAGAGGAAGAGCCCAGGGGCATGCATCTTGAGTGAGATGGGCCACAAGCCCACGAGCGGGGAGGAGGAAAAAGAGACGGGGAGCTCCATATTGAGCCAGGGGGTGAGGGACGGAGCAGGGCTCACGGGGTCTGGCAGTTGGACAGAACTCACTTATTGAGACATCGACTGAGACTGCTGTGTGTCGGAATCGGGTTGGGGCTAGGCGTGAACACGGGGTAAACACAATCCAGAAATGGTAATTACATCTAAATTCTCCCTGGTGCCAGAAGGGAAAAGAATGCTCCCAGACCACGTCTCTTTGGTTTTTCCTTTGAACGCTTCCAACTGTAAGTGTGTGCTCTGGCCCTGACACATATGTATGTTTCTTTAAAAGCTCAATTCGTCTCTTGTCAGCTTCACAACCCTGGAGGGCCGTCCCCCTCAGAGCCACCTCTGTGAACGGTGATCCCCACCTCCCCGTACCCCCACGCTGACTCTGCCCTCTTCTTGGTGAGGGAGGCTCTGAACCCCACTTCCAAGCAGACTCCCCACCTCTGTCCATCCAACAAGTGCCACTTGTGAAATGTTTCCAGAGACGTGGACATGATTTCTGTTTCCCACCAGTCGAAGGCAGATGTCTTTGCCTGTTTTGCTCACCACTGTATTCCCAACATGGTTCCCCCCAACATAGTTGGTCCTCTGTGTGTGCTGAAGGAAGGAAGGGAAGCAGGACCATAAGGAGGTGGGGTGGGGTGTGGTCCTGGGAGGCAGGAGTCTGCACATCCTTCCACTGTGCCCCCCACTCACCTGGACAAGCCCCTCCAGGGACTTCTCTGGGCATCCACCAAGGCTCCTCGCCTCGTTCTAGGTGGGAGATCACATCCGGCTTGCAGACTGGGGGTCCTGCTTGCAGGAAGAAAGAGGTGTGCTGTAGCTCCCCAGGGCATGGCTGTCCAGGACCCAGTACCGCGAAGTGTGTGCCATCCCCAGGGATGGGGGGCTCTTACACGCAGAATCCAAACTCATATGTGTGCTCTGAGGAACCCATGGGTACTGACACCCCCCTGCCCAGTCTCTCTTGGAAAGCTCCAGGCAGGCTGGGCTCTCAGGCCCCTGTCCACCGCCCCCCCTCTTCTGGCCCACTCCAGGACCAGCCCCACCTCAGGCAAAGATGCTGGCAGTGACATGTACTGTCCAGCCCCAACACGAGTGTAGCGGCCACACACCCCACATCCTGCAGGGCCAGCACCAGGGCTGGTACCACAGGGAGGCTTGGTAATACCTGTGGCATGGCAGAGTGGCCAGACCGCACACTGGGCTTCAAGGAACTGTCTTACCCAGGGCAAGAAGGTTCTGGTAGTTCTCCAGCATCACGTCACGGTACAAGGCCCTCTGAGGGGAGTCTAGCTGGCCCCACTCCTCCTGGGTGAAGTCCACAGCCACATCCTTGAAAGTCACTGATTCCTGGAAGGACAAGCACATTCTCATTCACCCAGGACAGGAATGATTGGGACTGTGTTCATGGTTCCAAGCAAGCCAGATGTCAATTGAGGACCTTAGGGATGAAGGGTTAACCTCTGATGACCCTCTCTTGAGAATGGAAGGTGCTATAGGACCCCATCTATCATATAGCCCTTACATACACAGCATGCCTGGGCCAGGAATCGCCAAGCAGACCTGGCCTTCTGGACTGGGAGGGCCAAGCGACCTGGCCAGCCTGGGTCCGGGTGCCTGTTGGGCTGGAGGCTGCTGTTAAGTTCTGGGTAAAATGCTATGCTTCCCATGGTTAAGAATGTCAAACTTAAGAACCTGAAAGAATAGTACAAAGAATCCAGAAGCCCTCCTGAAATCTCACCATTGCAAAAGGACCCTACTCTGGAGAGGAAGCCATTATCACACCCTAAGGAAGGAAACCATACTTATCAGCAAGTTCTGTCAGCAAGAGACCAAGGGAGCCACCCACTCTCCGTTCTTCTTGTCTGCCTCCCACACCTTCCCACGGGACCCCTGCTGCCCTGCCCTCCCTGAATCCAAGTACTGACCTGCTTCCACCTTCCCTGGCAGGGGTCACTGACACTTGCATGCACTCCTGTTCTAGAACCCCGGGCTCTTCTGCTGATAGGGCTCCTCACCCACTCTGGAGTCCCTAGGTTGCCATCCCCAATGTTCCTCTTGGTCTCCACACTCCAATCCCACCCTGGGTCCCCCTTGCCAGCAAATAAGCTCTCAAAGCCCATCAGGGTGCCGGCCTAAGGTGGCAAGGGTTGTTCGCTCTTCAAAGATGTGGGTGCCCTGGGAGCCTGGCTTAAATCGTAGACAGGACACGACATTAGACATAAGAATGAAGAATAAATCAAACAGGGGAGGCCTGGCTCCCATCTCCCTGTTTGTTGGGAGTGACTGGCATACGGCCAAGCTCCCAGGGGTCACCACATTTCTCTGGAAACCCTGGGTCTGCATCAGCACCCATGGTCATACACCGTTGTGTGGAATTTCAAGCCCTGAGATGGCTATCAGACAGTCTTGGGAAGAGAAGGGACATCCTCTGGGGTCACAAGAGATTTGACCTTTAGCTCTAAAAGTGGTTTATACTTGTAGATAGTTCTCAACGTTGCTGCAGACTAAACTGTGTCCCCCTGAAATTCCTATGTGGAAGCCCTCCCTTCCAGTGTGATTGTGTTTGGAGACAGGGTCTTTAGGATGTAAATGAAGCTACGTGGGGTCATAAAGGTGGGCCCTGATCTGACAAGCCTGGTGGTCTCTGAGAAGAGGACAAAGGAGATCTCTCTCCCCATTGAGAGTTCTGAGGACAGACCACCTGAAAGCATGGTGAGAGCCAGGTGGAGAGCTGCAGCAAACCGGACCCCGACAGCACCCTGATCTCAGACTTCTGGCCCCCGGAACTGTGAGGAAATCAATTTCTGTTGCTGAAGCTGCCAAGTCACTGCCATTTTGTTACAGCAACCCGAGCTAAGACAAATGCCAACCTAAAACAGGAGGAAAGATAAAGCCCCTTTTTGTACTACACACAAAATACAACTCCAGCTACAGCAAGGATCTAAATGTTGAGGCTTCCGGGAGACAATTCCAAGTCCGTGGCTGGCATGATAGCAAACCTGGAAACCAGGAGGAGAAGATTTACATTTGCTCCATGAAAGTTTACATTTTCTTTCTTTTCTTTTTTTAAGATTTTATTTATTTATTTGAGGGAGAGCACGAGTGAGCAGAGGGGGAGAGGGAGAAGCGGACTCCTCACTGAGCATGGAGCCCAATGTGGGACTCGATCCCAGGACCTTGGGATCATGACCCGAGCCAAAGGCAGCTGCTTAACTGACTGAACCACCCTAGTGCCCTGAAAGTTCATGTTTTCTGCAGGCAACACTGACAAATTGCTATGAAGACAAAAAGAAAATGGGCCTAGGGTATAAGCAGACAATTCACAGAAGACTGGCAAATCACTAAGCCCATGAGGAGACACTCAGTCAAAGCAGACATCCTGAAATGTGGAATAAAACAGAAAGATACCGTTTCGCACACAGAAGAGAGGCAAAACGTTTAAAGCCTGCAAATACAAAGTGTGGGCTGGTCCATGGAGAGTTGGGATGGTCTTACACCTCCCGACAGGTGTAAGGGGGACATCCATTTTGGAAAGCAAAACATATTCTACTATCGCTAGCAAAAGCTGACACTCCCTGCACCTTGAAAGGCCACTGTGAGATTCCTACCCAGCCTAGAGTGGTTGGGAAAACACTGGAAACATGCTGAACGTCTATCGGGAGCGATGAATATACAACAGGGCACCGTGCAGCAGTGAAAATGAGCATGGCAGAGGAACCTGTCCATGGGGAGCTCTTGGGAGCACGGCAGTGGTTACAAAGGCAGCCTGAGGGGAACCATGCCCGGCGTGACGCCCAGCAGTCCCGTGTGGAGGTTACAAATACTCCAATGTGCATCTAGCTCCGCTGTCTGCTGGATAAGGGCACAGGCTCTGAGCCTAGTGGCCCAGGTGGGCTCCCCATCTTGTTCTTACTAGCTATGAGTTGGGGGTGCCTCAGTTGCCTCGTCTGCTAATCGTCCATGTCATTGCATCACAGTAAGGATTCAATGAATTACTACTACATGTGAAGCGCTCATCCAAGGGCCTGGCGGACGGCAGGTGTCCTCTGGTGTTTGCTGTTAGTCACCGTCCTCTGAAACTGTCATAGACTGAGGAGGGCAGGAGAGGAGGGAGATCCTGCCTTTACCTGCAATGTTTTGTTTTGTTTTGTTTTAGGATTTTATTTATTTAACAGACAGAGATCACAAGTAGGCAGAGAGGCAGGTAGAGAGGGTGGGGGGAAGCAGGCTCCCTGCTGAGCAGAGAGTCCGATGCGGGGCTCGATCCCAGGACCCTGAGATCATGACCTGAGCCGAAGGCAGAGGCTTAACCCACTGGGCCACCCAGGCACCCACAATGTTTTGTTTTTTAAAAGGATTTGGAACAAATATGACAAAAGGTAGACATTAATTTTGCAAAACAGGTACATGGAAAGTTGTTATTATTCTGTTTAACTGTTTCAACATTTAAAAAAAAAGAAAAAGCCACTCGAAAAGGAAGAAATGCAAATTTCCGACAGACGATGCAGGACTAATGATTTCTTGTCAGGAAAATGGAAATCAAAACAAAAATAACGTCATGCGTTTTTCCCTATCAGAGCAGCACTAATTAAAACCTGGGATCTCGGCCATGAGGAAGCATTTTTGTCAGGAGTGGGAACTGTTACACCCTTCTGGGTACTTATACTACAGAATCAAAAGTTCCTGCATATAAGGAAGCAAATGCAAGGCAGGATATCGCAGCACTGTACTTACCCCAAACCAACCAACCAAGATATTAGGACAGCGGGCTAAACTAGGGCACATGCACACAGGCAGACCATGGAAAATAATGCAGCTAGCCCAAGACATGCGTTGTACGTTACACTAGGTGAAGGAGGCCAGAAGAAGGTGGCCACATACTATATGATCTAATTTATGTGCAATGCCCAGAATAAGCAAATAGAGAGAGACAAAAAGCAAATGAGCGAGCGGTTGCTGAGAGCTAGAGTGACTGCTGATGGGCACGGGGGTTCTTTCTGGGTAAGGAAATGAACTGTGGTGACAGCTGCTCTACATGAGTGCACTCAAAACCACCGAACAGGACGCTTGCCAAGGGTGGATTTTATGGTATGTGAATTACATGTCAACTTGAACACAGGACAGCACTGGAATGTATACAGTATGATCCCATTTTTAAAACAACATGCTTAAGCCTATGTACGTTGGAGTCTGAGTATGAGAACAAGGGGAGAGATGTGGGAGTCAATGTCAAAACTGGGACACTGGTTGCCTTAGGGGACTGTGACCATAGGTGCGGGGAAAAGAGGAGATTAGTGATAGACTGTGCTGTGGGACTTTGTTACAAAGCAAATACTGGTTTGATAAATTTTTCAAAAATTACTTTTCAAAGAAGAAGGAATTAAAAGCAGAGCAGTGGTTAGCTGCACCATTTTGGTCTAGACAGGTAGTTTGCTCAAGCTTCAGTTTCTCCAGCTAGCGAAAGGACTGGGAGCAGTGGGGCCCCCTGGGGTCAAGAAGAAAAGGAAGTGGGGTAGAAGTATGCCAGTCTTGGGTACCAAGGAAAGGACCCAGCATCTGTCAGTCCGCACTTGGCCATCTCCTACCCACTGGCTGTGCACACCAAGAGGCTGGAAACCCGCCCCCACCCCAAGAGTTGGGAGAAAACAAAGAGCAGACTGGGCCGCGTCCAGAATCGTGACAGGGATGTCTATGGTCTCAGGCATTAGAGGAGGGGTGGACCACAGCAGAGAGGCCAAGGGCACAAAAATGGGGTGAGTTGGGCTTCAGCAGTACAGTGAACCGAGGTGGCAGAGGCGCGTGTCCTGAGACTTCATGCTCTCGGAGCTCTGGCGTCCCAGGAGGAGCGGTAGGGGGTGCCACTGTGGGCCAGACTGGGAAGACAGGTACTCCAAGGTCCAGATCCTTGTATTCTGCAGCAGGATGGACAGAGGGAAGGCGGGAGAGAGGGACAACAGCTTCTGAGTGTGGGCTGGAGGACTGAAGCAGCAGCCTGGTTAAAACTGGGTTTCCTGTTCTGCTGCCAGACAGAAAACATAACAAGGACCACATGTGCCCTCTTACCTCAAACAACTAGTAAACTGGGCAAAACGTATAAAACAATGATTGATTTCAAGACACCGGACAAGCTACAGTTCAGAACACAGACCGCTGAGAGAAGGGAAACAAAATGAGCCCTACAACCAACCCCATCCTACCCGGAAGCAGTTTCCAGACTGCTGTGTGAGCAGGTGGAACCCAGATGGGCCTGTGGTCTCACCAAGCTGAAGAAGAAGACGGTTCAGAGAGACCAGAAGATTAAATCTCTAGGGCAACATGCCAGAGGAGAGGGAGTTTCACAGACTCAG